GATGTTTATATGAAAGCATGTCCTCTGCTTTAACAAGTTGTTTGACCTCTGTTTTCTCCTCAAAAGTATTTTTAAATTCCCTTGGCTCAAAACATGAAGGATTCTTTGGTTTAGCTTTTGGATTTGTTGCTAGTCTTGGCTCCGGATTTCTGTAAATCTTAACATAACATTGTCGGCCAGCTGCAACACCCTTCACAAACTCATCATACATGAGCTGCTTCATGTCTTCCCAAGAATAGGTTGGTTCATCGAATTCAAGCCTCATAGTGTCTTCTCTATCCCAATGCCTATATGCATCTTCCGTTAGAGTATCTTCAGCATAAGATGTCTTTTCTTCCTCTAGAATTCGGTTGGACTGAAACCAAATTTCCACGTCTCTTTCCCAACTTAAGTATGCTTCCGGTCCTTGGCTATGACCTGAAAAAGAGATATATTGCGGTTGAGGTTCTTCCTCTTCAATCTCCGATTCATCACCAAAGTTATCTTGGTTAGCATCGGATTCCTCTTGCCATGGCTGGTGTTTGGCGTGTGACTCTTGTTCATGAGTGAACTCTCCTTTGTGAGGGAAATCTTCATACTCTGGTTCACGTCCATAGCCTTCTTCTTCAAGACTGAACTGAGACTCATTCTCTTCTAGCCATGACTCGTCTTCATGGGAGTTTGGCTTGTTATCATGCCATGGGTCATCTTCATGGCTGAATTGAGATTTAGTTTCTCCAATCCATGAGTGGTTTCCATGTTCCTGATCCTCATGATCGTTTTGACAACTATTCTCTCCAATTTGTGAGTCTCCATCCAAACTTTCTTGGTCAGATTTTCCTGTGTACCATTGTCATGAAGGGTCTGGTGGCTCTGGTTCACGTTCATCTTTATCAGGTTCATCAGCATAATCTGAGCTTGACTAGTCATAATGGGGCCATGTTTCGTTATAACCATCCTCGTAATGTTCCATGTATTGCTCTGTTTCCCCATAATTCCAATCTTCTTCACAAGATTTCTCTTCAGAGCTAGAGAAGTCCATGGTTGCGTCTCTTGTCGTTTTCTCACAAAACAAGGTAAGGGATGAATCAATAATAATCGTATCAAAGGCAATAAGGAAAGAAAAGTTAAAGACTAAAACCAAAAATGGAATGCTTTTTTTTTTTCGAAAACTTATACTAAACCTTTTTTTTAATTTAAAATAAATAAATTCAGAAACGATGATTTTTTTTTATTTTTTGTTTAGTGATTTTTAACCCAAATAAACTAGAAATTAGCAAAGAATTAAAATAAGTTCGAACAAAATGATCTTTAATGGTTTAATAATTTTAAATAGCAAAGTGAAACAAATAAAATTTTCTTTTGATTTTTATGGTTTAATAACGCAAAAGTAAGAACAAATCACAAAAAACTTAAAACAAAACAATTTTTGTTTTGGTTTTCGATTTT